TATATATATATATATATATATATATATATATATTATACACACACACACACACACACACACACACACACACTTATTATTTATAAAATATTATATTATTATTGGCCATTTCAGGCCAAAAGAATTCATATATAAAATGCTGCTGTGTAAAGAGTAAAGCAGTGTAACCTTCAGTGTGATGTCAGAAAAGGAATGCTAAAGGAATAAAAAGCAGGTGGATGTTGAATGTTGTAAATCTGACACTAAAAAAGCAAGGGAAATTTCCTGTCTGGTAAAATCCTTTCATTCTTTTTAATTACAGTTCTCTTAAATATGCTCATTCTGAGGTAATCTGTTGTGGATAAAACCAACAAAAATATCTGCTTGCACTGGACCTTGGAATGACTGCACAATTCCACTGAGGTTTTCTACTAAGCAAGCAGGAAACCTTTAAATTAGCAAGTTCAAAAAGGACTTGCTGGATATGGTGAGAGCTCGGAGAAAAGTAATTTAACTGGTAATTAGGGAAGCTGGGAACTCATCTCCAGCAAAACCCTATTCAATTGAATGTCTCTCTGCTGGCAGAGCCGTGGAGAGCGAAAGGAGAATGTTTTGTTTGATTCTGATGGTGATTGATGGCATTTCACCAAAGACCACAGTCAGTGAAGCCTGAAGTAATGTCCCTTCTTTCACTGGCCCACAGAGAAACCACAGAGACAAGACCACATAACACTGACACAAACTGTTTACGGGATGGCACAAAAGCACAGTGACAGCTCTAGCAGTCTTTATGCATTCATTTTTTTCCTTACTGCGCATTTCAGCTTCATAGCTTAGGGAGCTAGGCTTGTGGACCCGATACTGCTTCAGGAGCTTTTTGTCCCAGGCACCGCAATTCAGAGGATTCCCAAGTCGTAAAAATTCTCTGAAAAATGCATAAAAACCATTTATTAGAGACAGTAATATCCCACACAATGAGCAATAGCTTGCTCTTCGAGCATTATCACAACACATTAGGAAATCCAGAAGACAACAACTTCAACTGATAAAAATAAACATTAGATAAATGCAATTAATAAAATATATAATTACTGTATAATAATTGTAATGATTGCAATATATATATATATATATATATATAGTATCTCACAGAAGTGAGTACACCCCTCACATTTTTGTAAATATTTTTTTATATCTTTTCATGTGACAACACTAAAGAAATGACACTTTGCTACAATGTAAATTAGTGAGTGTACAGCTTGTGTAAGTAAGTCAATTTGCTGTCCCATCAAAATAACTCAACACACAGCCATTAATGTCTAAACCACTGGCCACAAAAGTGAGTACACCCCTAAATGAAAATGTCCAAATTGGGCCCGAAGTGTCAATATTTTGTGTGGCCACCATTATTTTCCAGCACTGCCTTAACCCTCTTGGGCATGGAGTTCACCAGAGCTTCACAGGTTGCCACTGGAGTCCTCTTCCACTCCTCCATGACGACATCACGGAGCTGGTGGATGTTAGAGACCTTGCCCTCCTCCACCTTCCGTTTGAGCATGCTTTACACAAATGTGAGGGGTGTACTCACTTCTGTGAGATACTGTATTTTATTATTATAAATAATAAGAAAATAATAATATATATTAATCACTTAAAGAACTATGATCCAGAATGCAGTCGCATACCATTTAAACCATATAAGACAGATTTTGATTTCTCAAATGAGCTGAAGTGAATTGCTTTTTTTTTTTTATTATTATTATTTTGTAGTAAAGCATCCTCCATCACAAAATTGAAATCGCTAATCCGTTTGACTTAGAGACAACCCATAGAGCTTTGAATAATATTGATATAGTCAAATTTGATCATTTTCCTTTTATGCAAACATGCAGCTGTGATAAGATCAAATCAGTAAAGACTGAAACGTGGAGGAGCCCCAGGAGCAAAACAGATTTTAACTGACTCATCTGGTCTTTGTATAAACAAAAATCAGTTCAAAAGAGCTCACATGTAGGAGACCAATCAATAGAAGGTTGGGGGCAGAAACATGTTCCGTTAAGTTATTATTCTTAAATATTAATCACTTTAATAAATATCGTTGAGTCTTTGAGATGTAATGGACAAAGAGCTGGCCCTCTGATCTGTACTGTATCACAGTCGTGTACTATAATGTATACAGTATATTGTACACTACCAGCGAGGAGGCCCTCTCTGTCCTCATAATATTATATAATATAATTGAATATAATATAATATATTTTCCAGTCTCTATCTAAACATTTTTGGAGCAAACTGGACTCACCTGAGCACCATCGGCTCTAGGGCCTGGGAGGCCAGTCGCTCAAACATCCTCTGCAGAGGTGGGTGGAGTGGGTGATCTTCGTCTCCCAAAGCGCAGCTACAGCGCTGAAGCAAACGTGAGTGCAGACCCGACTCACACAGGATCTGCTGGTTCCTCTCTGAATGCACTAGCAGCTGCAGGATGTTAGCAACCGCCAGCTGCAGGTCCAGAGCATGCTGAGGAGCAGAGCGAGGCTAAAGTGAGCTGTAGGACACTTACAGTAGAACACTCAGCTCTGATAAACACTAACATTCTGAAATTTTAAATTCACATTACAGTGGCACAAGTCAAACATAACATGCTATTACTAGTCATTCTGAAAACAAGTACTTAAAGCAGTGGTTCTCAACCTTTTTTTCCCACTGGGCCACACTATGGTCCAAGTGCAAGTCTCACGGGCCGCACGCATATCATTTACATATTACGTCACAATACAAACCAACCCGATTTATAATATTATAGCCTAAATATTATGATATCTAATCGATTACATTCATTGATATAAATAAATAAATAAATAATTCTACTCACATTAATAAAACACCTGAAGCTGTCGGGAGCTGACCAATTTTGTGAAATTTGTCTCGAAAGGAGTAACAGCACAATGAAGTTGCGATTGTGAGTTGCATTCTGTAAGACGCGCACGGAAGCGTGACTTGACACGTGACATTGCAGAAAATGTGTGTTCACAAATGTAGCCTATGTTGATCCAAATATGGAAAGCACTTTCGAATTTAATAATCTGAGGTTCTCTCCAGAGATGTTTTGCCACATTTCTGCAATTAAGGATGATTGCTGCATAGTATGGGTGTTTCCTTTTGCCTGAACTAGAGCCCTGCATTTCAGCCCGGTATTCTTGTTTGTATGTGTTCCTTTGCTGGCATTTTCCACATTTAGTTTTTCTCCCTTAATAACAAATTTGCCCATTCTGATGCTCAATTTAACGAAATAATGGCTGCTGATGACTATTTGAATTGAATTCTGCCAAAGTGCGCGTTTGTAAGGGTTAGTTAAATGTGTAACGTGAGTACAGGTCTGATCATGTCTGAAAATAATATATGAAAAACAAAATTATTTGACATAAAAACATTATAGCTTATATTTGCTTAGTGCATTTTTAAATGAATGTAAAAACTAAAATGAATTGTAAAACTGAAAGTTATTTTTTTAAATTGTGTTCAGCATGGTGGGCCGCATTTGAATTTGTGACAGGCCGCGGGTTGAGAACCACTGACTTAAAGGGATAGTTCACCCAAAAATGAAAGTTCTGTCATTAATCATGTAGTTCCAAACCCGTAAGACCTTTGTTCATCTTCGGAACACAAATTAAGATATTTTTGATGAAATGCCAAGAGCTTTCTGACCTTGCATAGACAGCAACACAACTGACACGTTCAATACCCAGAAAGGTAGTAAGGACATTGTTAAAATAGTCCAGCTGACATCAGTGGTTCAACCTTAATTTTATGAAGCTACGAGAAAACTTTTTGTATGCAAAGAAAACAAAATAATGACTTTATTAAACAATTTCTTCTCTTCCGTTTCAGTCTTTGACACACGTTCATGACAATACCATGACGCATATCCTTACTACCTTTCAGAAACCGGTCAGAAAGCTCTCGGATTTCATCAAAAATATCTTAATTTGTGTTCCAAAGATTAACTTAATGGTCTTAAAGGTTTGAAATGACGTGAAGGTGAGTAATTAATGACAATTTTCATTTTTTTGGTGAACTATCCCTTTAAGAAAGTTTTTTTTACTGGCCTGTTTCAAAGGTACACCCCTAAAAAGAATGTTCTGGGTTCTTACTGTCGATTACCACAATGTAATTTCATCTTGTCCTATTCAGAACTTACTGTCACTTTTGAGCAATTTAATGCACCCTAATTAAATAAAATAATTAATTTAATTAAAAAAAAAATTGATCCCAAACTTTTGAACAGCAACACATTCTCTCCTAGCTACATATCAACACCAAAGTTTTGCATTAGGCATTCCCATGTGGGCTGATGACTTTGTAGACACCAAACATGGTGTCAGCTCACTAAATTTTGAGACAGAGCCAATGTCTACAAGCAGCTCATACCTCAGGCTGTGTGTCAGAAGAAACGGAGGGTAGGAGGTCCAGCATTGCCAGCACTGCTCCAGGGTGGATGACTACAGGGTCTGAAGAGTGCTGGGACGGATTTCCCAAGTGCAGCTTTAGGTCCGTTAGGACTTTACCAGGAGCAGAGTTGGATGAGCTGTGATAGCCATGTCTATTGGGAAAGAAAAGAATGCTTAATGGCTCTTCTTAGTCTCATCACTTAGTGTCAGTGCCTGGAAAGTGTAATTCACTTATACATTTTGGCTTGGCAGTTTTATCCTGATAAAAGCTAACAGGCTGCAAAAGCTTAGAGAGATTTTTTTAAAGAAGGATTTTTTGGTCCTTACTCTTAAATACAGCACCGAAACGACATTTTGAAAAAATATCAGCTTTGATATAAGGTTAATTATGAATCAAAACTCCTCACAGAGAGCTTGAAAAGCAAAAGGACTCAAAAAAGCTGTCAACACAACCAGAGAAGGGGAAATTTTTGCAACTGCAAAGCTTTACAGGTAAGCAAAGTAGCTCAACACGGCAGATGAAATGGTGCAGAAAAAGACGAAAATATAGTCAAAGGAGATGATCAAGGAGAAGAAAAGTGAGAGGTTGCAAAAGTTGCAGATGGTAATCACTCTGATCAGAGGGAGGAGATGAATAACAGTATGCTAAACAGTAAGTTTCCTACCACCAGCAATTTGTCTATTTACACTGAAAACATAAATGTAGATGGGCACAGCATAATAACAGCCAATCAGAACATATTTGATGTTTAACATACCGCTATTTTGAACCAATGACATTTCTGGGTGGGCGGGGCTAAAGTAAATATACACTAACAGCATGTCCTGTTGCTTGTTGGGACTTGTTAGGAAAATAAAAAAAATCTTACACAGAAGCGATACCTTTTTTATCACTTTTCAATTTATCATATTGTAGGAACTGAATATAATAGCTCATAGGTCTAGTTCTAAACCGGTATGTTATTTTTATTGAAAATTCCTAGTGACATCAATTCAGATGAATACATAATACTTAATTTCTAAACCGTTTTTAGTCTACATAAATTAATAATACATTACTGTATTTAGGCGTCACAACAACATTATAATGTACAACAAGAAAAATTGATATTCATTTTCAGAGCAGCTAAAAATTACATTTAACACTTACAGTATTATAAAATTGTTAGTGTTTTTAAAGATTAACTTCAAGTAAGCGTTAGATGCTGTTAAAGATAATCGAAATGAAAAAATATGGGAAATTAGACATGCACAATTCAATATATAATATTAACAGATTTACAATACAGTACAATTCAAAATTTGGGGTCAGTATTTTTCTATCTAAAGGAATAAGTACATTTATTTAGTAGAGACTTTCAAATCGTTAAAAAATTATATTATTTCAAATAAATTCTGTTCTACTGGACTTTCTATTCATCAGAGAATCTGGGGGGAAATGTATCACAGTTTGCACAAAATCTCAGAACTGAAAAATAATAAATGTTTCTTGAGCAAATTAGTATATTACAATTATTTAATAAGAATTATAATTCTATATATAAGGATCATGTGACACTGAAGGCTGGAGTAATGCCAGCTTTGCCATCATAGGAATAAATGAAATTTTAAAATAGTTTTGAAATACATGAAAAAAGTATATATAATAATGTATATATAATAAATAATGTAAATAATATAGTTCACATTATTACTGTGTTTACTGTATTGCTGATCAAATAAATGCAACCTTGGTTAGCATAAGGCACTTCTTTTGAGAAAGTTAAAAAAAAAAATTAATCCCAAACTTTTGAACGGTGGTGTATTTATGCACAATACGGATCAATATGATAAATAAACAATTTCTAATAATGGCAGATAACCAATATAGTACCAATATAATTGCACATCCCTACAGTAAGGAAAGGTGTGAGAGAAAAGTGAACAAAAGAAGGAAGAGGAATTGAAACATACTAGAGAAAAAAGGGTCTGATCACTCGACAAGCAAAGAACAGAAAAAGAAAAAAGGAAAAGACAAAGGGAGAAAAGGAAGAGGAGGCAGAAAGCAGTACCTCTTCCTGGCGATTGCTGGCGTGCCCCAAGGAGAGGGCAGCGAGGTCTCATGAGTCAAGCAGGGGGGCACCTGCTCGGCACGACTACAACGATTCAACCACAAACGGACACGCAGAGTCACGACCAAACAATCAACATGAAGACAGACCAGACATTCACACAGCCATACAAACACAAACAGCAGGTCCATACCACACACACCCCGCGTGTGCAGCCAGGCAATGCCAGAGGTTACGAGAGACAAGAAATGAGAAAGAGCAAGAGAGGGAGGCAGTTAGTTCCTGTTGAATGCACAGCTCAGGGCACAGCACATAGAACTCAGAGGATCTACAGATCAAGCAAATCTAACACAAACACAAGCCCAAAGCACGGCTACACTCAGATAACATGTGAAGGCATTTGCATCTTCTGAAGGTCATGACTAATGAGAATGACACATCTAAACTACACTCTCAGCAGATCAAGGATGAGCATGAAGAGTCAAACTGGTCGAGTACTCATTCTGCACCTCAAACTACACAACCCGATTTTCCTTTGTGACTTTGCCTGCCACAGAAAACAATGAGAGTACTTTCCCCACTGAATCCCTAATTGTTACAAATGAATATTTAGGGTGGCATTCTAGATATGCATTTACATTATGAAAGGAAATATTGTGTACTTTCAAGTGCATCCAAGTATCAATCTTTAAAACTTGTATATTTGGTTCCTGTAAGAATCATGAATCCCACCAGATTGGTGGAACAAAATACAAAAATAAACTACCATTGCAGAGTGCATTTTCTATTAGGCTTAAGTGGCAATTTTTATTTTTTTATTTGAATAAAAACATAATATAAAAACACAAAATAGTCCTTTTAGAATAGACATTTTTACATGTTAACTTCCCTAATGGCGGTAGTCTAAATTTAAAATTGGTTTCTATGTAAGCCCTGTGTGAGCTAAAATGTGCTTTTAATTTTGAATTACATCGCTTATTCTTAAATTTTTTTTTAGCTTGTTCATTTTAATTTTCAAAAGTAGTTGTGCATGGTTTTAATTAAACCATTGTGCTCATTAATTTTTTTAAGATATAGCATTGTTTGTTAAAGTTTTTTATGAAACTGTCATTAGTGATATGTTTGTGAATTAATCAAAATATAAAATTTAGACATACATTTTTATTAAATTTTTTTTTTATGTGCAAAGAGTACTCGACTATAACAGTTACTCAAAATGCACATCCTTACTAATGTCCTCTTAAAATTTCACAATAAAAGTAAACTGCCCCCTTAACTGAAAAAGGGATTTAATTTTCTTTTTTCAGCCATCTTACTGATATCACATCCAAAACACATTGATTCTTTCTATTCCTTAAGAAAAGACAACTTTCATTTATCCACACCTGTCAAAAGAGTCGGTGGCCATCTTGTACAGGTAGATGAACAGCTTGCTGCAGTGCTTGAGTGTGGGACACACGTTTTCTGCTGGTATGATCTCATCCTCCAGTAACCGCTGGAATGGTTGGGCATTTGAGGGGAAGACGGTAGCTGGACCAACTTTCTTAGCATCAGAAAAACATCCCAAAAGTCGCACAGCATCGGCCAGCTTCTCGTACTGGATCTCAGTGCGAAAGAAGTATGAGTTGGCAGGTTCGTAACGCATGGCTGCTGTTAGAGTGCAGAATACGGTGTGTAGTAGTTCAAAGACTTTGTTCTGGTTGACCTTCTCCCAGCCGCTGACAGGTGGAGAACAGAGAGAACGCTCCATGGCAACCAACATTAATGGTCTTAAAGGTTTGAAATGACGTGAAGGTGAGTAATTAATGACAATTTTCATTTTTTTGGTGAACTATCCCTTTAAGAAAGTTTTTTTTACTGGCCTGTTTCAAAGGTACACCCCTAAAAAGAATGTTCTGGGTTCTTACTGTCGATTACCACAATGTAATTTCATCTTGTCCCGAAGTTTGTAAAAAAAAAAAATCATAATAATTTTCTTCTAACGGAAGTCTGTGAGCTAATATACTGTACTGCATGTAACTCTCCAGTTGCTCTCTGTATCTCTCCAGGGAGCAGCCTACAGCAAATCATGGTAATCATTTCTGTGGTAATCGTGGCAAACAACAAAACAAGAATACTGTTGATAGCACTTAAATGGGAACATGCCTTTAAGTTTCACACAAAATATGATGCGTTCAGTTCATTCTCATAAAATCCTTCACTTTGACATCTGACTGTAGGTGAAAAACAAAACTGATGCTAAGGTATCTTCTTTAAGGTAAATCTTTAAATTGAAGATGTGTGAACAAAGTCTTTAAAAAATGTAATTAAAATAAATAAAAATAAATTATATATAATTACATATTGACACACACACACACACATATATAAACAGTGAGGTCACGTACACAAAGCCTCCCACCTTGCGAAAGACGGTGCGTGTACGATGGCTCTCGCGCAGCACTGCTAACACAGCCTAATGAGAAAGAACAAAGAATGTTAGGTGGATTCAGAATTAAATCATAAGGATGGAAGTTAGTTGTTTAACAAAGATGCTTTAATTCAAAAGTTTGGGTTCAATAAGATTTACATTTTTTTTAATTTTTAACAAGTTCTCTAAAGAATCATGCGAAACTGAAGACTGGAGTAAGGCTGTGTGTCCACCAAAGAGTTTTTAGCTTTTTTTAAAAACACCTAGCTGTGAGCGCTTAAGGGCACTTCTATGGCCAGCATTTTTTTCAATTGAAACGCTTTGGTTGCTATAATACGGAATATCCGCAGAAGTAATGTTGCAGACTTATTGTTAATGAAATGTTGCAAGCATTATTTTTCATATCAATATTCGTAGTAGTCCGGGAATCCCATTTGGTAGACATTAATACTGGGAGACAAGCAATATTAGCTTCTCCTCCTTTGTTGTTCACTCGTAGTGATCAGGCATCTCAGGAACCGCACTCCAGTGGTTTGAGTCTTACCTCTCCTATAGGTCCTTCAAGGTATCTTAGAGAGGTGAGGTGTCCAAGTTGCAACATCTAACTACTAGGGTGCCTCAGGGCTCAGTTCTTGGACCACTTCTCTTCTCTGTCTACATGGCATCACTAGGTTCTGTCATTCAGAAACATGGCTTTTTATATCACTGCTATGCTGATGCCACTAAACTCTACCTCTCATTCCATCCTGAAGATCCGATGATAGCTGCTCACATCTTGGCATGTCTAAATCTAAAAAGTGACAGTGATCAGCGTAGCGTTTTACCCAAAGTTGAACATTAGATGCTCAGCACCTTGTCACGCTGCTGGTGTTTTAAAAATCACGGCGCTCCCATTCAAAACCATTTAAAAAATACGTTAGCCTCAGGAAAAATGTTTTGGTGGACACACAGCCTAATGGCTGCTAATATATTATATAATATGATATTACATATAATAGAAGTGCACCAAAATCTTTACTTGACAACTGCAACATTTTTATCAATAACATTTTGAAGCATTCATTTCAAAATGTGGACATTTACTATTTTCCAAATTTACTCCATTTCCACCTGCACCTGTAACCAACTTGGCTGAATGTGTCACTTATTTTCTTCACACAGTTATAAATGTGCCTCACCCACAAAATGTCAGTTTTGAGCTGTAGTTCTGTTGAAGGTGCGGAGTGCATAAGGCCGAGCAGAGTACCCATGTCATCATCTCCAGATGGCGACAGCACCAGCTGTTGAATGATCATCAGAGCGTGCTCACGACACTGACGGTACTTCACAATGTTGTGCACACACCTGGCTCCGCCAAACTCACGGAACAATCCTGAGAGATTCAGATTTTCTCGTTAAAAATTCAAGCTTGGAGACAACTTCAGTTTCAACTTTATAGCTTGGCAAGATATTTAATGTATTGTTTATGTAAATATTAGACACAACAAGACCATAGTGAGATTTAGAAATGACTGATCACCTCAATGTCAATGCCATATTTGGAATTACTCGCTAATTTTCTGCAACAAAGCCATTCTGACTGGCTAACAATAAATAAAGCATGAGTGCATCTGTGAGATAGAGCATTCTGAGACTATCAGCAGCCATGATATAGAAGAGAAATGATTACAGAGCTGAAGTTAAGAACGTTTCTCAACCAGAGACCTGACTCAGCACAGAGAGTGAGACTACTGCAGGGCCTGAGAGCATGAAAATGAATTTTGACTCGTCCCTGAGTGCTTAAAAACAAGAGTTTTTCAGTATAATAACACAATTATAATGAAAGCCTAAGGGGTGCACTGGAAAGTTTTAAAACCAGCTATGTCAATCTCATATTTCTGTTCAAGACCATATGAAATCAAAAACTGACTTTTGTGGCATTGTGTCTATGTATATTAGCTTTGAGACTATCTATATACTAGCATACTGTTAAATTTAATAAAAATTAGCCTTTAGCAGATCTTACAGATTTAAAATGTAGTCTTTCTTTTCTGAAAATTGATGACTCATTGTGCACCACACAAATTTTTGTCTAATCAAAAGCTCTCAAGAATGAGTAGGAAGTAGCAAATGATGGTTTACAGCTAAGATGTAACTAAAGCCTAAGTACTATTTTAAAGGAAAAGGGACAACTCCTTTTGTCTTGCCAAAACAGACCATTTTAAATGGAAATTATATCACTGATTGTCTTTAGAGTACTTTTGATTAAAAAGTAAAAAATTCTGTCTGAAAGTTGAACTTCCTGTTATGCACGAATAAAGTAATACCAAAAACATCACTTAAACGAATACACAAGGCGTCGTGACAGATTCCGTGAGGCCCTGATTATGGATAAAGGTAGCTAAAGAGGAAGAGACGGTGAGACCAAATCTACTGCGTCAGTCTAATTCCAAGCCTACTGCATTTCCTCTTTCAAAACCCAGCAAAACTCAGAGCCTTCTGGGCAGCGTTCTGACATGTGGTGTGATAGTGCTTCGGGTGATCAGAGTTTGTGTCCCGGCCTGTGGCCCTTTCCTAATCTCATTCTCCTCTCCAAACCTTCATATTACCAAGTCAATTTAACATTAAAAAAAGAAAAAAGAAACAGTCATGCACACATTTACCTGCATTGGTGTTCGAGCCTTGCAAGAGGACTGTGAGTGTCTCCATGACAAGCCAGGCAAGCTGTTTTTGCTCTTCAGCCACATTGTTCTTGGCATCACCTGACCACAGTGGGGGGAGCAGTCATTGAAATTATAACCAGTATCAGCATTGTTATTGCTAACTAAGACAAAAATGTAAAAAAAAAACTATTTTTTTGTTAATTGAAATAAATAGAGATATTTAAAAAACCAATAAAAAAAAAAAAAGACAAAAGCACATGATAAAATTCCTAAAACTTAAAACTAAAATTTTAAAAACTAAATAGTATAAAAAATACAAGCTAATTCAAAATATTAATATACACTATATAAAAAAATACTTAAATAACCCTTACTAATAGATATTATTTAATTAATAAATTTTAGTTCACAAAAGATTTACCCTGCTCGCCATGGGCTTGCGTTGGGTCTTTCAACAGTGCTGCATATTTGTGGAGCAGGTTAACTAACACTTCCAGCAGTCCAACTTCACGGAAGACATCACTGAAGACAGGGTGGTGGCGCCCGAGTTTGAGAAGAGTGCGAGTGGCTGTGATGCTGCATCCGTAAGAAGTACTTGACTTTAACAGCACGCTAACGCTAAAAAGCTCTTTGCATGGTACGTAATTAAGACCGAAGACAACAAACTCCAGTAGCTCAAAGTACTTGGACTGCACCTCCGGTAGCTTTGCTACTCGCTCTGCAAACTGCGACAGCGTATGCTGCGCCTCTAAGATGAAATAGTTGGCATAGTCGGCGGCGTATATGTTGGCAATGGCTTCAAGGATCATACGTGCTAATCGACCACTCTTGGCCTTCAAGAAGGCATTCTGAAGCACAGAGAAAGCCTGGATGTTTCTGACCGTGTGGCCTGAAAAAAAAAGATCATAATCATAAGCAATGATGGACAAAAAATAACCAATACCTTATTAAAAATGGCTCCTGTTGTGTTCCACAAAAGTAAGTCATTCATACAGGTTTGGAACATGATGGTGAGTAAATAACAAAAGTATGTTCATTTTTGGCTTAACTATTCATTTAGCACCACCGTCTAGACTCTAGAAACTCCAGTGACCTTTGGTGGACTAGTAACACAAAACCTCACATATTTTCATTTCCTCTCAACCTGAATGCAGAAGTGTATATTCATGACATGACTTCCAAATAATTCTGTTGTTAAAAAGAGGTCAATAACACATACAGTAAGTCACATAATACTCATAAAATAACAGCATTGCCATAGTTTAGACCAGCTCATTCAAGTCAGAGCCCAGAAGAGGGTTGAATTCAAAACATAAGTCTGTAACAAGACCAAGACTATGATTTATCTATTTATTTATTAACACCATGTCAGCAGCAAGGCGAATAACATAATAAAAGTCATACAATTAACAAAAAGATATACAAGACATTTAAGCTTAATACTAGACAAAAAAAATCTGAAATACTCTCAGGTGAAACTTTTTTAAATGCAACAGGTAAACATCTCTGAATAAAATCATCTATTTACTTTCAAAACAGTACCCAAGACCATGAATATATGATGGTCTTAAACTCTGACTCGAGGACCAAGACCGAGACCAAGACTGTAAAAATATGGTCTTGGACCATGAACATACATTCTTAGAATCAGACTCAAGGCTCATATTTTCATGGTCTTGGTCTTGTCATGGACTTGGGAGTATGTGGACTCGGTCTTGACACTGACTCAACCTTCTTCCCGTATCGGTCTTGATTCAGACTCAAATGAGCTGGTCTCGACTACAACACTGCTGAATAGCCACCAATGTCCTGAGCACAAAATTGATTACTGGTGTTTATTTCTCCATTGGGTCTTTCTGAAGAGTAATTATGCTATACAGCTAGGCTTCAAGAAAAACATACTGTATGCAATAATAACTGTGAACACCCAACCATCACATGATCATAGAGCGAGACAAGCCAGTCCTTCAACCCTGCACAAAACCCATTCTTGTGCATTCAACCTTTATGAACTTCCACTTCAGTGAGCTCTATTGCTGGTTGAGTGAAAATAACAACACAAAGTAGGAAATGAACAGTCTCTGTGATTGGCTTGTTGGAAAAAAGTCTTGATGTGACTGGGTGCACAAACAATATAATCTGGCACCATTATTTTAATTACAGCATTTAATGGCTCTTGGCGAGGCATAAGACAAGCTAAACAAATAACCTAACCAGATTACACAGTAGGTGTCTGCCGTTTGCCTCCTTCTGACCAATTAATGCCATTTACAGCCAGTGAACACTAATGTTTTAATTCTCCCTCAGAAACCGCAGGCCCTTCTTCTCCTTGTGTGACTAAAAGAGTAATCTAGCTGATGAAGGGAGGCAGCAGCAGACACAGATGAGGGGGTTAATAATTGAAAACGCCACAAGGAAGAAAACTGCTAATCTCACTCAAAGGTTAAGACAGCCATTGATTACAGCTAGGTTAATTCGTCCTGCAAGCTCTTAAAAAGATTTAAGTATCATTACCATATTTTTTTGAATGAATGAATGAATGATTGAATGAATGAATGAATGAATGAATGAAGTAATTAATTAATTCATTCATTCATTCATTAATAAAAAAATGTAAAGGGTCATTTGAATTTCTTTGTTTGGAAGCAAGAAAAGAACCCCAGTGGATGCAAAAATGTGAATGACTGCAAATATAGAAGCACACTAAATCTCTAAAGTATTTTAGTAATGCAGGCCACTTAAGCCTCAGCATTGTAAACTTGCCATCTGAGGCTACGTTTACACGACAACGATGTAGTCAAAAACGGAAAAGTTTTTCCCTTGCATTTTTAAAAAGTTTCACGTATAGACCTTTTTCCTGAGTAACCGGTGAGCAGCGCCATGATGGATTCTAACTTCCGTTTGGGTGCTCTCATGTTCCGGTCTCCATAGAAATCCATGTTAAAACGGGGTAAAAAAAGATTGACTAAATTGAAACTTTTTCAATATAACTAAATCTGAATGTGCGCAGGGTTAAGCTGTGCTGTTGTTTGCTGCCACAGTAATGGCAATAAGCTAAAGGAATTCCTTTAAAGTACTTGTTTTGCGTACCATAAAATCTGTCCATGTCCGGCGCTGTATGCATGGCTTGCAGCGCTTAAGTTAAAATACTGAGTGTGAAATAATAAAATGTTAAAATAATGTGTGCTTTTATCATTCTGTGGACAAAATCCCGTGAACTTCACCCTGATCGGGAGCTGAATATGCGCTCATCTGTTTTCAATGCAGCTAACGTTGCGTCGCTTCATGTCATTCTCACTCATTAAACTATGACAGGACCTTTACTGCAAAAAGACAGTTATTGCGACACTGTAAAGTGATGAAACTATGGCGTCATGTGCTTTTTAAAGCCATTTTTATGGGTTTCACGTTATATTATCGGACGTATCAGTAGTTGGCGCTGTCACCTTGTTAGTAAACGGTACCTGTAGGGAAGTGACGATTATATGTTGTATATGATGCGTCTCCGCTGTTGGTTGTAATATTGGTGAAGTAAATCCACACTTTGCTGAAGAAGCGTTAGCAAACACTTGAGCAGCAACAACAGTACCATGTACTCCGCCATTGTTGTATATGTTTGTTTACGCTTGCCTTTAAAATCGACACGTACTGCGCATGTCTACATACCTAACACGTACCACGTACGTGCATGACGTCACCATTTAAAAATATTCCCGTTTTGGGTGTTTACACGGAAACGATAACGGTTGCGTTTTCAAAAACTTGCACTTTGAAACCCGTTTTCAAAAATATGCGTTTTCAGTCTCCAAAATGCCGTTGTCGTGTAAACGAACAGGCAAAACGCATAAAAAGTTT